TGAACAGGCCCGCCAGCTTCTCCGATGGATTTCCAGGCAAATATTGGGACTTCAGATGGAACTGCAAAACCACCAGCAACAGAAATCCAGCTTAATGGTTCCAGTAATGACCCATTTTGCACCTCGAGAAACAAAGCTCTGATTGTGATAAGAATAAAGGGAAATATCTCCTGTAGAGACCCCTGGGTTATGTTTATCTATCTTTGAAAAAAAAAGGAGTCATAAAAAGTTTAATAAAAAATATTGAGTGTCTAAAGGAAGTTTTCAAATGCTTTCCTGTCTCTGACAGCTCATTTTGACAGAAATTGATTGTGATAAAGAATTATGAATCAGATAGCAGGGAAATTAAATTAAGCTGATTATTACCTTGTCAGATACACACATTATGTCATGTTCGTTGCTTTAGACTTTTGCAAAACGATTGTATCACTCAGGTTTAATAAATTTAGAATATCCTAAGCAATACACACAGGCATGACTGTAAAACATCTTTGTGTTTAGACATTTAGATTTTATTTATTTTGATATTTTTATTTATTTATATTTTGGTTTATTATTCTATATAATTAGCATATGTATATCACTCTCTATATTGCTTGGATTATTAAATATGCATATTTAAATTAGAAATATGCAATATGAAATATTTTATTCTCTGAAATCCCCCTTATTTAGGTAAGGACTGTGAGCAGCCTCTGTGCTGAGTCTGGGTCTGGCAGCTCCTTATGGTGACTGGCACCATTGAAAGACCCTGGAAAGCTTTCCCAAAACGTGGATCCTGCAGCCCCTTTGATTTTCCCTTTTGAACCACGTTGCGCAGCTGATCCAGGCTGAGATCCTTCTAAAGAGCAGCAAAGGGAAGCAGGAGCCTGGGAGACTCTCTCAGTGCATCTTCTCCCAGTGAAAGCAGCTCCACTGGCACGTGAAATTAGTTACAGATTGTTCACGTGGGGCCTTTCCCTCAAGGAATGGTAATGAAGGGAGCTGCTTCCGAAACAAGCAAGGCCACTGACCCTACTCAGGGTTCCACTGGAAAAATTCTGTTTGAAACAAGAAAGTTGGGAGCCAAGTGCTGTCGTGAGCTCAAAGCAGCCTGAGCAAGAGGTGAAGGCAGAACTGCAAAGAGAATCCTGAAATTAAAGTCAATCTGTCATCAAACCGAAGTTCATCAAAGCTCTGATAAAAAAAAAAAAAAAAAATTACCACTAAAATCCATTTCCATCAGTGCATACTGAGTGTTTCCATGTGTATAAAACAGAATTATCACAGCTCAAAAGCAGAATGACAACAGCTAAAAACCCCCAATATTAAACTAAAAATGAAATTTAAACCCAAGTTTTAAGCACAAGGTTACTCACTATCCTCCTTACAGATCTCAGAGGCCTAAATTACCCCAGAGGCAGCAAAGGACCGTTTGAGAGCATTTAGTGCAGACTGACCCCATTCAGCTGATGACCCTGTGGATGTGCTGCCCAGCTGGATTTTGGGATCAAAGCCCTGGCACAGCGAGTGGATACTGCCCAAACAAAGGTTCCATGGGAGACACTGCTCCCTGAACAGCCCCTGAAACATTTTTCCTTTAACTACTCCAACCAGTCATTTCTGTAGGACTCAGAAAAGCAAAGCCTCAGGTGCCCTCTGCTGGCTCTTGAACGACTGAACAGAAATGTTAAAATTGAAGATTTTTAGGTCTGGGAAAACCAAACCCAACCCCAAACTCAAACCCACACCACCTCCTTGCCAGTTTTCCAGTGGTCCCTTGTTCTGTGTGTAAGGACAGAAAACCCTTAGAGATGTTTATGCACAGGGCTCTCTCCATATCAGACTAAACATTTTTAAACACCCCATAAAATTAGAGTTTATGTTGTTATACTTAATATTAATTACTCCCCAGTTGTCCCAAATCTCTCTCAATAGTACCCACTTGATTTTCTTCTTGTTTTCTCTCCATAAAGATTGGATTTTCTAGATGTCTTCCCACAGGAAAGACAACCCATCTGCTTGTCCATCCATGTACAGAGACCTGTAGCAGCCACACAACCTGGACACACACCCAGAATGAGTTGTCTGTACAATTTTATTTTCCACCTGCAGTTACATTTACAAACTGTCCCATACAAGTAAAGCAGTTTTCAAAGTGAACTCAACCAGTGCTACAAAAATTATTCTCTTCTCTATACACGGCACCAGCTTCAGAATTTATGCCTATACACAACTGCTGATTATGTTTAACAAAAATTCACTATTTTTTGGCTCCAAGGATCTCCACAAAGGCAACATGATAAGTTTTATCCCGTTGCAATCATGACATGAAAGTTCTTGGTTTTGTTTTGCTTCCCTCTCCTTTCATCTGAAGCTTTGCATGGCTTTGTTTTGGAATTCTAATGAAGACAAAGCTACCACAAACCAACAGTTTCAGAAACAGGATAAAAATGCTGAGCAAATCCATCCAGCAACATTTGAAGCAATGTTTCACTTTAGATGTGCCTGCTCATCAGCAGAAATATTGAAATTTTAGCTGGCAATAAGGTTCCAGAAAAGCACAAACAAGTGATTTAACATGAAATGAACTTTACAAACAGTCAACTTACAGAGACAAAACAAGGTTGGAGTGAGGAGCCAGAGCTGCTCAGGGAAAAGAAATGTTTTGGGAAGCCTGAAGGGAGGAAGAATGAAACTCAAATATTGCTTTAAGAGGAACTTCGAGCTTTAAGCGTTTCCAAATGACATCAGAAAAATGTAGGTATTTAAAATACAACGTCAACCTTTCTGGATGCAGCTCCCAGCCACGAGTGAAAGCATTTCCCCAGGAGAGGGCAGGAGTTCTGTACAAAGGAGCTGCCAGCCCCAAACCCTGGCACAGCTGAAATACACAGCAGCTCCTGGAGTGAAGTCAACAGGGCAAAAATTCCCTGTCTCAAAGACCTCTTTCTGCCTAAGCCTCTCAGCACCACAGTCCCCCAGACATAACCTTAATTATGTCAGTCAAACCTTTGTATTTGTTAATTCCTTTCAAGAGACAACACTGGAAATCTGTGCTGCCTCTGGAGTTCACCAGACTGGGATAAGATCAAAACTCCACAACAATCAATAAAATAATGAAGCTTATTTAACCTTTCTGTTGCAGCAATCTCACTCCCAGTCTATTTTTAAATCCCTCCAAGGCTCACAGCAAGGCAACAGACTGGGAAAATCAACCATGTGGGAGCTCAAAATTGCTGTCTGACCCTCAACTAATTCCAGAATGGCCCAAACCAGCCTAAGAGCAGCATGATTTTTAACATTAGAAGAAGCCAGACACAGTAGCTGGAGCTGGCTGCTTTCAGACACTGAACCCTCAGGAGTTCATGGACAGCTCCGAGTAAACTCCAGCGTGGAGCGATTCCACGGCAGGAAGCTTCCAGCACTCTCATGATATGAAGTAACTGAATATTAACAAGCTGAAGAAGTCCAGCAAGGCAAAGGCACACACACAGTCACCCCAGCTGGTAACTGGGTTGCATAGATACAGCATGAGCGTGGTTACAATGATCAGAAGCAGCCAGGGAAGAAAATGCAGGAAAAAGTCCCTTTCTGGGATGTTTTATTAATCATTTGAAGGAATCATAGGCAGACTACAACTGTCAATATGTGGTTTTTAAACACCTTTCAATTTCTCCTGTTTACTGGAGGAACATTCAAGGTGTTTACATTTATTTTAAATATCACTTTCTTTCTAACAAGTGAAAAGATCCCATTTTAAACTCATGGGTTTAGTTCAGCTGCCAGTGTGAGAGAATCCCACATTTCAGCTTGTTTTGTCTATCTTATTTTCCTTACTTTATTTTTACAGCAACCTTGATTACTTCAGTACATAACATCCTGCTCAACCCTCGTGGGTTATTCAAAGTAATGCCTGAAACTGCTCTGAAATGTTTCATCATTTTTGCACATTTTCACTGAAAAAATCCTGTTTGAATAAAAAACTGAGTGTTTTCTTTTTCCTTAAACAATTCCCTAACACTGGAAAACCCAAGTGGCCCTGAGCACCAGGCAATCAAGAACCAATTCCAAGCCTGGTGCTCCACACCTTCCCTCACCCCCACAAAGACAAAAATAAAAATGAGCCCAAAAAAATCAGGAAGAGAATTTGAATGTCACTGTTTATCACAACACATCACAAGTGGTCTCAAGTACAAATTTCTACAACCATTTCTTATTTTACAACTGCAACAAGAGTTTGAAGCTACTGAGAGCAGCCAGACTCTCTTACTATGCAGAAATATAAAGGGATTGCTAAGATTAGCTCCTCCATACAACCAGAATATTAAAAACAATGGGATGTTATCTGCAGAGAGCAACAGACCTGGCAAAGAGTCCAAAAATATATTTTATTCCTGCTGTGCTGAAGTGATGCCACCATACAAGTCCCCAGTTATATGAAATCAGCTTTTGGTAACTCATTTTTGAACTAAACTGTTAATTTCAGCACATTTATCCTAAATTTTGAAGACTAAAAAACTCAAAGTCCACTTATTTGTTTCAACAAGTGCCTTTTCCAGGAGGTCCACACTGTCCATCCCTGCGTGTTCCAGGAGTTTGGCTCTGTAGGAAAATGATCTACAACAATCATCTGAACTGATACATCAGTCCTCCAACCAGAAACAGTTCTCATAATTTAAAAAAAAAATCACTTCATAATTTAAAATATATCTCACTAATACTCTGTTTTGCTTGGAACTAGAATATGCCACCATTAGTAGCTGACTTAGAACATCAACTTGAATTTGTGAAAAAAGCTTGCAAAAAATAGATCAACTTCCAAATGTACAGAAAAGGACATCAGAGGTGATATTTTTGGGTCACTTAATGTATTTTAGAAAGAGTAGCAAGCTGGAGTGGAGTACCCTATATTACAAATATTCAAACACCTAAGCTGGACTGTTTTACACCTCGAGTGTAGTGCAGGGTTAGTTCCAGACAGGGAATTTGGAAGCAGGTCCAAAGAACTGCAGCTCTGTTCACTTAGACTTGATCACGTAGGCGGGCCAGTCTCTGTGACAGCTCATCCTGCACAGTTGGAAAACAAAAAGGGAAAACCAACCATCAGCAACAGGAAAAGCAACTTCTGCCATCTCATGTCCAGCTGATGAGAGATTCTCTCATGGCTTAACAAGACTTGCTTAAGACCTCAAGCACAGATGTGAGGGAAGAGTTTCAGAACACAAAATTAAGCAGAGAAAGAATTTTTTCAAAGAACATGGAATATTTGATAAGACAAGGGGGCTGAAATCCTTCCCTGTGAGGGTGGGGAATGGATTTCCCAGAGAAGCTGTGGCTGCTCCTGGATCCCTGGAAGCATCCAAGGCCAGGATGGACAGGGCTTGGGACAACCTGGGATAGCAGAAGGTGTCCCTGCTCATGGCAGGGGGTGGCACTGGATGTGCTCTAAGGTCCCTTCCAACCCAAATTATTCTGGGATTCTGGTATTTCCTACCCAGCTCTCTTATCTCTGTCCACAGAGCTTTGACAGTAACAAATAGGAGGGAACGTCCTATTGCCATCTGAAATGTCATGTTTTAAATAGCTCCTACCATTCCCAGCTCTAGAAATTAACTCAGCCACTTGAAATACATATTCTGAGGCAAAATTCACTAAAATGAGCTTTATATGGCACTCATTTCTGTAGACTTGAGACCTGCCACTGTTAAGGGATGCATTTGGTCCACAGGTCACAATAAACTTTCAAGGTGAAGAGCAGTAAATCAGTTTACCTTAAACAACTATCTGTTGGAATCACAACTACCTCATGACTTTGCTTTGAAGGGGAGAAGTACCTTTGTGAAATAATCCAAAGAGCAGCTGCCAGAGGAACTCCAGCGGCCGATTTACTCCTGGCTACCTCTAAAACCGAAAGTGAAAGCTCCCAGCTCGTTGCAGCTGGGACGAAGCCACTCCAGAGAAGATGAGAGGTCTCCTCCTTGCCCCTGCAGGAGGAGGAGGGCCTCACCTTGCCCATGGTGACGGCAGTCTGCACCCTGGCTGCCACGGCGTCCACGCGGGCGCTCATGCGCAGGAAGTTGATGGCCTGGTTCTTCTGGCGGATGGCGTTCTCCGCGTGGATCCGCGCCACCTCCATGTTCCCCTTCTGGATGGCCTTGGCAAAGAGAGACACAAAAGGAAAAGCCTTTTACCCTTCCTTGCTCCTGTACATAGGATTTCTGTGTAGTCTATTTTGGCTTTGAAAGAAGCATTAATTAATCACTATATCTCTTTCTATTAAAAAAATAAACAAATCCCTCCCTCCTCCTACAATAGATCACAAACATTTCCAAGATGAGAACTCCTAACTTCTTTCCAAGGAAGGCATTGGAAAGAATGCACAGTTTTGCAGAGCGACAGAAACATAATTTCTGTTCCTGAAAACAGTTTCAGTCTCAAGACACAAAAACAGGCACAGGTGGTACAGCTGTATCTCATGGGCAAAAACACACCAAATCAACTCAGTCTCTCTCTTCACTACTTCAAGGACTCAAAAGCTGGTTTGAAGTTTCTCTCCACAAGCCCATTTAATACAAACTGATAAACATGAAGTGGTTTTAACTCTGAGAACAGTCTCTACCAAAGCACATACAAGACAATCCTCTAGGGAAGCAAATGCCACGAGCCATCCACAAGGATTTATCCTCATGTTTATTAATAAACACAGGAATATTTATAGTCACATACTTTAAATCACAAACATTGACTACATGATCATTAGCATGCACACCAGGAAAACAACAACACACCAGATGTCTTCATGCCTTAACAGACAAGCAACAGATCTAAAAATTTGGTTCAGACTTACCTTCTTAATTTTAGCTTTCTCTGCCTTTTCTTCTTTGTCGCATTTTTTGGAGTTTCTGTTGAGCTCCTTTGCAGCAAACTTCAAATTAAACAGGTGTTCTGCAGTGTAAGTTAAGGGACTAAACCTATTTCAGAGTGATAAATCCAGCCACCAAACACCCCCCAGGAGGAACTGAGAGTAGTTCTCTGCCAGTTACTTTCACTCCCACACCAGAAGCCTGTGACTCCCAGTGAAATGATGTGGTTTCCTGACCTGCCTGGAACCTCCCCATCCAAAAAAAAAAAAAAACCCAAGCCACTGAAGAACACAACAAATGAACTGTGTAACAGCAAACTGGATCAGCTGGGCAAGGCCAGCTACAACCCAGCAGGATCTTGGATTTAAATTATTCTTCCAGCTCCTTTCCAGCCCTGGATCATGTGAGTTATCCCAGGCTCCCTGACAGCTCCATCATCTGACTTTTGGGCAGAGTACTCCAGTCAGGAAGAGAAACTTTAAAAACAGAAGTTCAACTGCTTAAACTGAAAGGTCCAAGTAAGACAAGCCTTCAGAGTGTTTTGGAATGACTGCACTAAACTATTACTGAGAATACTATTACTATTACAGAGAATCTGTGTGCTGTAAAAATAACAATCAAAAACATTCTCTTAAAACACTGCTGATGAAAGCTTCCAAATAATATCAGTCCTTCGCAAACAATACGTAAGTAAAAAGCTTTGTAGGTTTCTTTCCTGCCACCTGTGGTATCCTAAGAGGAAGATACAGCAGGTACTAACATGATTAACAATTAAATGGAAGCACAAAGCTAAACATTACGAGTTTGAGGTTTCTTCAATATTTCAATCACATAAATTATTCCAGAGCTGTTTTCTGCATTAAAGTCCAGCCATTCTTCTTACTCTGACAGCAAACTGGGAACATTAGGAATGTCTTTTGTTATCCTATAAACATCACAGGCAGGCTACAAACAGGTAACACACGTGACTTTGCATTTAGGATATCTATCAATGTAGCTACCAGAACCCGAGCAGTTTATTTTGAAATAACTTCCCCAGTTACTCAGCTAGGGAATTTACCTGACATTAAACCAGCTCACCAGCCACCTCCTCAGCTCACCCATCCCTGAGGAGCACATTCCTGCTCCTCCCTTCAAGTGTCTTTCTCAACGTGCCACAAACCAAGCAGAACCCAACTTCCACCTCAGTCTGTGACTCACAGTCAGCTGCTCCAGCAATCCCGTCAGTCCCTACCAGGACAACCGGCAATGCCAGCACTGCCTGCACATTCCAACCACACTGAGACCACTGGAATCCACACTGAGACCTCTGGGCTCTGTAAGAGTTTTCTGCCCCTGTGTGTGAAGATGGTTTTATACAGCAAGAAAGTTTCAGTCAGCCCACACAGGCCCCTGTGTGTAAATTCTTTCCAAGAGCAGGAAGCACAGCTGACGTGGTGGCTGTTTGGGGAACAGCCCAGCTGACATCACTCCAGTTTACACACATGTATGCTGCCCCTGCTGCACAACTTGCACTATTTTTAGTAGAAATTGTGTTTTCTGCCTCAGGAACTGGGCTGTCCCTCCATCCTCCTCACTCCCAGCCCAGGCTGCCTCATCAGGCCTTGGGAAGAGACACCGAACTTCCCACCCACTTCCTTGTCCCTTCAGGGCAGTAATCCACAGAAACACGGAGTAACTGAGGTTACAAGGGACCTCTGGAGATCACCAGGTCTCCAGGTCCAACCCCCCGCCCTGGCTGGGTCACCCGGAGCAGGTGACCCAGGAACGTGTCCAGGTGGGTTTGGGATTTCCCTAGAGACTCCACATCCCCATCCATGGCAGCTATTCCAGGGCTCTGCCCCCTCCACAAAAAGAACATCTTCCTCGTGTTGAGGTGCAACTCCTTGGTTTTTAGCTTATGACCACTGCTTTTCATCGTGGTGCTGGACACCACTGAGCAAAGCCTAGCACCATCCTCTGACACCCCCTAGAGATATCGTTATGGAACATGAGATCCCTTCTCTCTTTTCTCGTCTTTAGAAGAGAATTCCGAGGCTGCGCGATCTCAGCCCCTGCCAGTGTCACACCCAGCCCTCCCGCCGCTGCCCCTCGGTCCCCACGACCACCGCCATGAGGGGGGATTCGCCCCCTCGCTCCCCCGCGCCCCGGGGGCTCCTCCCGGCGGGGAGGCCTCGCTGGCCACCGCCACCTCCCCCGGCCCGGCCCGCCCGGCGGCTCCCGGCCCATCCCGCCCGCGGTCCCTCCCGAGGATACTCTCCATGTTGGACATGCTGGCGGCCCCGGGGGGAGCGGCGCGGCTCCGGACCGGGTTGGGGCAGCGCTGGGCCCGGGGCGGCGGCGGCTCCGGCGGCTCCGGGTTCCGGCCCCGTGACGAGCCGGGGCGGGGCCGCGCCTGCGGCTTTGGGCTCGGAGGGACCGGGAGCCTCATCCCGGCCCTGCCCTGCCCTGGGCAGGAGCACAGGCAGAGATTGGGGTGCTCCAAATCCCGGCCAGCCTGGCTTTAGACACTTCCAGGGATGGGGGAGCTTATCTGAGAAATCTATTCCAGGGCCTCACCACCCTCATAGAGAGGAATTTCCTCCTAATATTCAGTATAAAACACAGAATATCCTGAGTTGGAAGGGATCCACAAAGATCATCAATCCTGGTCCCGGCCCTGCACAGACACCCCAACAATCCCACCCTGTGCATCCCTGGCAGCGTTGTCCAAACGCTCCTGGAGCTCTGGCAGCGCTGGGGCTGTGACCATTCCCTGGGGAGCCTGGGCAGTGCCAGACACCCTCTGGGGGAAGAACCTTTCCCTGATCTCCAGCCTGACCCTGGCACAGCTCCGCTCCTGTCCCTGTCACCACAGAGAGCAGCACCTGCGCCTCTGCCTTCCCTCACGACAGAGCTGTGACTTCGCTGAGTGTCGCCTCAGTCTCCTCCAGCTGAACAGCTCCACTGTCCCTCAGTGCCCTCAGCTGCTCCTCAAGGCACTTCACCATCTTCATGTCCCTTCTTTGGACATCTCTCCTCTCCTTCAGTTTGACTCCATCGCCCAGTTGTCCCATCTCTCTAGGCCCTTGTAAATAAATAGTGTCTCTTCATCTTTCTTCAGCTCCTTCAGGTACTGGAAGGCCACAATTAAGTCACCCAAAGCTTCTCCACAGTGGACACCCCCAGCTCTCCCAGCTTTTCTCCAGAGCAGAGCTGCCCCATCCCCTCTAATCATTTGTGGCCTCCTCTGGACTGGCTCCAGCAGCTCCACGTCCTTCTGGATGCCAGGGCTGGAGGCATTTTCTTCTGCAGGGCAGAATCCCCCCTTCCTGCTGCCCACACTGGGATGAGCCCAGCACTTGGGGGCTGTGGGCTGGGCCATGTCCAGCCTCTCAGCCACCAGGATCTATATTTAACAATATTTTCTGCTGAGGCATCTCAGACAGAACCTGACAGAGGAGTGATGCATCTGAGCTGGCAGCTTTTCCCAGGTGAAATGCCTGTTGGAGTTGTGGATACAGTAATAATGCAGGAGTGCTCGTGGCAAATGAACTGCAAAGAGTGTGGCAGAAGACACTTGAGCAAAGCCAGTAACTAATTATTCTTGCTGGTGCCTCAGGAGTCTGAATTTATAGTGATAAAGATCACTGAGTCCGGGCTGTGAAAGCTTTGAAACTGAACTGGTGACACCACAGCAATGACAGACTCCATGTGTGTAATAGGAGAGGTCTGCAGGAAGGACCTTTTTATCCAGGAGATGGGAAAAGATGAGATTTTCTGAATCTGATAATTCTCAGTGTCACCAGTTCACAGAAATGTGGTTTTAAACCACATCTTGGGAGGGCTGCAGTAGAGATTTAACATATTTAATAGTTCTCTGTTTAAAGAGTCTGTTCCTGCTTGGACAACCATCCTGTATCCAGCCTCCTGGAAGCTTGCACAGTAACTCTCATGAGTAATAGTTCTTTAAATGAATAAGGTTTTCCAGGGTCAGAAGCAGACAGTAGATCATCGAATATCCACCTCTTTTTTCTCTAATATTCCTGGAACTCTCTCATTAGGACACGATTTGGAGGTGGCAGTGATATTAGATAGGAAGTATTACAGCGATCATCTACTCTGAACAAAATGATTCATTTCATTGCTGTCAAAGAGAAGTGAACCTGGCCTAATTACTCACAACAGTGTTAGAGAACAAAGCAGCAAAACCTGCTCAGAAACAGGAGCATGCAATGTTCTACCTCAATTAAACCTGGAGAAGCATCAATCAGTGTCACACAGGTGTCACAGGAGGAAACACACTGGGCTGCAGCTTCCTCAGAGCTGCTCAGGACATTAGCTCACAAATTCCAACTGAAATCTCCCCTTCCTTTTGACTGCTGAAGAAATATCCTGATGGTATACCTTAAAAAGCTACCTGAGTTAAAAAATAAATACATTTTATTGGTTTGGGGTTTTTTCCTGACAATCATCACTGAATTTTCATTATTTAAAAAAATCTAAATTTGGAAAAAAACACATTACCAAGCAATTATCTTCAGCAACCTGAATTAAATATGTTACCTACTATGAGTGCAGGTGTAGGGACACACCAAAATGTTGGCACAGATTGCAGTGAAACCCATGTAATTTAGTAATTTAGAAATATTTTTGTTATAATAACAGCTGGAAGCATAGGAGGGTCCCTCCTGGGCTGTGCTTTGGGTGCAGAGTGAAGCTTTGCTCACAGGAGCTCAGTGCCCAGACCCTCCAGCCTCTCTCACCCAGGAGAAAAAGAACAACTTTGACACTGGAGTCCCTGTTTTTTGAGATGTGAGTCACCAATGGTTAGGAGGGAATAAAGCTGTTGATTAATCTCTGAACTCTTGGTAGAGACCTTCTGCCTCTAAAATGAGGAGTTTGCTGAAACCCAGGTTTTGAAAGGTGAAGGTGCCTTTTGGTGGCTTTTTCCAGCCAATAAAATTGTAAATAAATTGGTTTACCTCCAAACAATCATGGGTGTCCAGTACTGCTCATTAGACTGAAATCACCTTGCACAGACACGATTTCTGAACAGTTCCCTCCTGCATTTTTCATTTCAATTCTTGATCAATCCATTTTAGAGCCCCAGCCATTTTGCACTGAGGTACCAACCCTCAATTCTCAAATCTCTTCCAAAAGCAGCAATTTCAAGTCTGCCTCCTGCCTCCTCCCCTCCTACATATCCTCCATCTCATCTTGGATGCAGCAAATATTTATTTTTCCTTAAATTTTATTGAGTTGTGAATTATATGTTGCTCCCTCCGTAGCACTTTGGAGAAATAAAACTGACAAACTGAGCTGCACAAAAGGATGAGCTAGGGAAGAAGCAAACTGAATATATGAAAAAAAAAATCAGAATTATTAAATAAAAGTGCTGAAAACTCAGTAGAATTCAGTTTTCAGGCATGATGGAGGTGTATGGATTTGCCAGTTTAATGAGTGCACTTACAGGTGGTGATGGTGTTTAGGGCAGGAAGGAGGTGATGAGGTGGAAAACATTCATTACATAAAATTTCCCTTCTCTGCCTGTGGTGTCTCAGCTCAGTCATTCTTTTTCTTTTACTCTGCTTCCATCATGTTCTTTTTCATCTATTTTTTCCCTTTCCTATGTGTTTTCACAGGCAGGAATTGACCAACCCAGGATTTGTTAAATGTAATGAGCTTTTCAGTGCAGTGTGTTACAAACATTTGGCATTTCCTTCATGCCTTTTAGCCAAGACCACAGGAATACTCTTCATGCTTTGCAAGAGGGAACAAAGGTACATTTTCTTTTCATGGTACCTGAGATCCCATATTGCATAAACCTCCCAAAGAGTGGTTCTTACTATTAAAAGTCATTTTTGAAATGCATCCAAACCTAAATATGACTTTGCCGTTAGGTATAAAGGCCACAAACACAGCTTGAGTCTTATTCTTGTGATGATCAAATCCTTCAGTTTTGACGTAGTGATGATTTTACTCTGCTCAGTGAGATTCTCACCATGTGCAATGGTTACAGGCCCAAGCCAAATGAGCTCATGAGTGCTGGCTTGTGAACTGTGACACCAAGAGCGATGAGGATCAATTTTTAATCACAATAATTGATCTGGTCCCTTAGTCACTCCCGGTGTCAGTCACGCATGAGGTGCAAGAGGCAGCAAATGTTAAATAGGAATTCAGGGGGTAGAACATCAGAAGGAGCAAATCCAGGTGTGTTGCAGCACTGCTGAGAACTCTGACCCTAAGAGAACACTTGTCATTAAAATACAGGTTTTTTAGGGGATACAAATAAATGCAATACAAGGATTGGACTTGTATTTAAATTCTACAAACAGCAAAAAGAAATTAAGGTGATAAAGACACTGGGGGATGTGAGATCTTGGCTGCATCTCTGAGGCAGAAGCAGTTGGCCATGGGAGGAGGGATGATGTTATCCCTTGGGATGAGCCAGGCAGCTTGGATGGAGCAGCACTGGCACTGGGACCTGCACACGTTGCCCACTGGCTACTTTGCTTTTCTACTTGCAGCAGATTCCCCACAGAAGGAGGACTCTGCAGCTCAGAATTACTGATGGTCCAAAATGCTGGTGACTCACCAGATTTCCACTGCAGGTGGTTGGCAACTGCACGAGTCCGGTTCAAAGAGGGAACGACAAATCAGTCCTGGCTCTGCAGGAGAGAGATGATGGCAAAGTACAGCTCTGCCCACTGTCTGAACCAGGGATGTTCTGGTGGGTGTAAAAGGCCTGTTGATCCTGACAATGTTTGTACCACACATTGCATGGCTACATCCTCAAATGAGCATTTCCATGACTCGTTAAATCACTACAGGTGTAAGGTAACCACAAAACCATGGAGTGGTTTGGGTTGGAAGGGACCTTAAACGCCTTCCCCACCCTATTCCCCGCCACAGGCAGGGACACCTTCCACTATCCCAGGTTGCTCCAAGTCCTGCCCAAGCTGGCCTTGGCCACTTCCAGGGATGGGGCAGCCACAGCTGCTCTGGGAAACGGAATGTTATTTTGTTCAGCACTGAACTGCTGGTTGTTTTTTCACGGAGACACACCTGAAAGAAACTACTGAAAGTGGACAGAATTGAGTTTCTGTTCCACAGAAAATTCACCAAAAATTGTTCTTATTTAGAGTACACACCAGAAATGATATGATTTTCCAGGAAAGCAGGGTTCAATAATTAATGTTTTAGAAAAAGAACTTATTTTCTGGTTTTATTTTTAAATTTTAGTTGTGGGGTTTTGGTTGGTTTGGTGGTTTTTTTTGTTTGTTTGTTTGTTTTCTGTTTGTTTGTTTTTTTTTTTATTCACCCTCCTCTTTGTCATATTCCATGTTCTTTAAAAATCATTGCCTTTAAGACCATTCTGGCTGTCCTTTGAAATGCTG